CTAAGGGTGAAAAAAGTAGGAATGTCTCATGTGAGTGTTTTACAATCAAAGTTGATGAAGAGCAAGGTTAAGGCTGTTATTTGGAGAACTATTTGGAGTTAATCAAGAAAGGAAGTGCTTCGCATTTAAAGTATACATTTTACCCGTCTTTGCATTCCCCATGACCTCGATATTGCTAGTGCCATGCACTAGAGTCTGAGCAACGGGAAGGATCTGGACTACAGTATATGTTTGAAACCAGAATACAAAACCACTGCTGGAGAAGACAAACATTTGTGTAATTGAACTTTTGACTCAAAACCGCATTGCTGTTGAGATATAGGCACTGTGACAACTAGCCCCACTGTATATATATACCTTTCATTAGTTTGGGGTTTTTAATTTTTCCTTCAGATTATACTTTTATTCAGCAAGGATACATTAAATTGATCAAAAGAGACAGTAAAGACATATAGAATGTTACAACTGATTTCTATTTCCAATAAAGATTATCCTGAAAACAATAAGTATATAAACTTTTCCACAAAAAATTAAGCTGCAACAAAAATGTTTCTTCAGCAGAAAATAAGCATATTAGAATGATTCCTGAAGGATCATGTGACACTGAGGACTGGAGCAATGGCTGCTGAAAATTCAGCTTTGACATCACAGGAGTACATTACATTTTAAAATATATTCAAATCGAAAACTGATATTTTAGTAGTTTATAATATTTTTACTGTTTTGCTGTATATTTGATCAAATAAATGCAGCCTTGGTGAGCATAGGAGACTTCTTTTAAAAAAAAACATTGTAAATCTTAACTAACCACAAACTTTTGAACTTGTTTATATAAATAAAGACTATTTACATGAAAATGACATCTGTGGTGTTGCATTCTGAATAAGACAATATTTTATTTTATAATATATTATGTTTTTTAATAACATTTTATTATACAAATTGATAATATAATTGTTAAGGATCAAAGGTATTATTTCAAAAATGTTATTTTAACACTAAAGAGTAATTTTAAATCAAAGCACGACTAGAGATGCCTTTCTGCATCACTAAACAAAAAACACAAATATGGCTTCATTAGGAACAAATAAAGTTATGCTTCCATAACTTTTCAGTATATCTTTTCTTTGTCCGCTAAAAGCTTATTATTTTATTAAACCTTATGTTCTATTTGTTGTCTGGGAATAATTAACAGCTCAACTCATTGATGACTAAGTTTCACTGTTATGACTTTTCCTAATCCTAATCAGAATTTTATAAACACAATTGTAATCTCGTTTATTCATCTGACATCCTCCAATGAAAAATGTTATATACACACACACACAACAACAGATTCTGTGGGACCCCAAACAGTAAGAAATGTATGTCAGTCTCTACTATTGTAAATGTAGAGATCATGTATGTGCACTGACGCTGGTTTCATGAAGCTCAGCATTAACTCCAACAGAGATGATGATCCTCAGAGACACATTCTCATTACAGCAATAACAGTCCAGTCCTCTTCTCACACACAGCATACTGAAACAACATTATACTATTTATAGGCTCATTAAAAAGAGAATATCATATCCCTATGATTTTCTGGTTCTTACTTCTACTCTTCTCTTTTTTGCTACTAAAGATGTAAAAGTTTATTTTTTATATAAAACACAATATTATAAAAATTACACAAAATCAGATACTAAAAAGAAATTGGATTATTAGTATGTCAATATGTATTTTAAGTAAAAGGCTGAATCAGTAATATCAAGATGCATTTATTAAATTCAGCTGTATTAGACTTTTCTGTATTAGAAGTTTCAGATGTGCATAAGTGTGCATAAATAGGTAACACTTTACAGTAAGGTTGTATTAGTTTTGCATTAGTTAATGCATCAACTATAAACTGACAATGAGCAATGCATTTTCTACAGAATGTATTAACCATTAACTGAAATTATTAAATGCTGTGTAAAAATTATTCATTGTTAGCTCATGTTAACTATTGTAGTTAGCGCATGTAAAAAAATGGCTTAAAAACAAAATTCACTCAAAAATTGCTAGTAAATTTCACAAAGAATTACAAAGAAATGGAAAGTATTATTCTGAATTAAACATATGACCAGTATTTCCTTGTAAAACATACTCCAATTTCTTTTTATTTTCAACTTTGAAGCTGTTTTTTAACAGTGTGTGTGTGTGTGTGTGTGTGTGTGCGCGCATGTTTATGTGGTTTATGAGGACAGAAATTTGTATAATAACATGGGTATGACATAGGTATTACAACGAGAAGGTGATTTATGAGGACATTTTCAGTGTCCCCGTAATTCAAAAGGCTTATAAATAATTCAGAATGAGTTTTTTTGAAAATCTAAAAATGCAGAAAGTTTCCTGTGAGGGGTAGGTTTAGGGGTAGGGTTGGTGTAGGGCAATAGAAAATACAGTTTGTACAGTATAAAAACCATTACGCCTATGGAGAGTCCCCATAAACCATAAAAACAAACCTGTGTGTGTGTGTGTACTGGTTTATATATCCTGGTGGAGACTTAATCCTGAACACACACAGACTCATGGAGACTCGTGTCACGGTGGGGACCTAAATTGTGGTCCCCACGGGTACAAAAGCTTATAAATCATACAGAATGAAGTTTTTTGAAAATCTAAAAATGCAGAAAGTTTCCTGTGAGGGGTAGGTTTAGGGGTAGGGTTGGTGTAGTGCAATAGAATATAGGGTCTGTACAGTAGAAGAACCATTACCCCTATGGAGAGTCCCCACAAGGATAGCTGACCAGACATGTGTGTGTGTGTGTGTGTGTGTGTGTGTGCATGTTTATGTGGTTTATGAGGACGCAAATTTGTATAATAACATGGGCATGACATAGGTATTACAATGAGAAGGTGATTTATGAGGACATTTTCAGTGTCCCCATAATTCAAAAGGCTTATAAATAATTCAGAATGAGTTTTTTTGAAAATCTAAAAATGCACAAAGTTTCCTGTGAGGGGTAGGTTTAGGGGTAGGGTTGGTGTAGGGCAATAGAAAATACTGTTTGTACAGTATAAAAACCATTACAACTATGGAGAGTCCCCATAAACCATAAAAATAAACCTGTGTGTGTGTGTGATAATATGATACAGAGTGTTCATTAGTTATTAAAGTTATCTCTCTCTCATGGTTTAGTCACCCAATTAAAGTACTCAAAATCATGTCTCCATCTGAGCTTTAGAAGATTTCTCATAGCTAAAGTAATGCTTTGTCTCCATCTAGTGCCAGTTTTTTAGTCTAGTTGTTTAATAAAGGAGAGCGTAAACATATAATAATATAGAAATATAAATAAACAGATATGTGTCAGATATTTTAATAGTAGGTAGATAAAACACTGCCTGTAATATGAGGTTTTTGATGCAGGAGCTTGTATTAATGGTTTTCTTGAAACTCACAGTGGACATTTGATGTTCTTATGCACAGATTGAATGATTAACAAGTATGTTCAGCACTCATATACAGGGACAGAAAGAACAGCTGCTAAATTTCACAAAACTAGAGTGTACTTACAGAGCACTGTGCTTGACCAGGCTGGAATTTATGGCTGGGCTGCCGCTGCAAAATCACTTGTATTTAAGGCAAAAGTACGGAGACACATAACGCAAGGAGCAAAACCTGGAAAAAGTAATATGTTCTGATGAATTATCCCACACCCTGCTTTGTAAAGCAGAAAGCAGTCCAGCCTGATTGATCACAGGCCGGCGCTGTAGGGAGAAATCAGATACTTTGTGTGGGGAATTGGAGGAAGGTCTGGTTTTATTATATAACCTTTTATTCTGACACTTGCTATTAAAATGAATAAATAAAATGCTGTAATAAAGTGTATGGCTGCGTCAGAGTTCCCATACTTTCAGAGTATGTATTGAATTCAGTGAACTTCTCAACCCTTGTGCTTTCTGCCAAACCTTAACGTCTGTTGGCAACTGATAGGCATTAGCAAATCTCTACATTCAGTCTCGGGTGTTTAATACATATCATGCCGACTTCTACCTCTTCAAACCAAAAGGTATTGTTCTATAACACAAAACGATGAAATAATACAAATAGCAGCATGTTAAATGTTGTATAGATTTCTGTGCAATTTCTCTTTAATATAATTTTAGAATAATTAGCATAATAATGAAGCTAGCATTAAAAAGTAGTATAAGTTATTAATAATAAACAGCTATCACTGCAGATGTGTCTCAGGGGGCCCTGATCTTGATAATGTTGGTGCCATCACTGATACCTTTTTGTTTATTAATTGTGATATTCATTGTTAGCTCATGTTAACTATTGTAGTTAGCTCATGTTAAAAAAAATGGCTTAAAAACAAAATTCACTCAAAAATTGCTAGTAAATTTCAAAGAAATGGCGAGTATTATTCTGAATTAAACATATGACCAGTATTTCCTTGTAAAACACTCCCATTTCTTTTTATTTTCAACTCTGAAGCTGTTTTTTAACTGTGTGTGTGTGTGTGTGTGTGTGTGTGTGTGTGTGTGTGCGTGTGTGTGTGTGCGTGCGTACTGGTTTATATATCCTGGTGGAGACTTAAACCTGAACACACACAGACTCATGGGGACTCGTGTCACGGTGGGGACCTAACTTGTGGTCCCCACGGGTACAAAAGCTTATAAATCATACAGAATGAAGTTTTTTGAAAATCTAAAAATGCAGATGTGTCTCAGGGGGCCTGATCTTGATAATGTTGATACCATCACTGGTAGCAAAATGGACATATACAGTCTAGTTCAATTATACAGCTGTACTACTAACATTTGCATTAATGAATTATTATTTATTAATATTGTTTTTTTATTATTATTATTTGATATTGTAAGCTATATTAAAGAAGTAGTTAACCGAAAAATGTATTTACTCACCCTTGGTGTTCATGTTGTTGTTATTTTCCATACACTGAAAGTCAGTGTTGTTTGGCCCTCAGTCACTGTTCTTCATAATCTCTTCTTTTGCGTTCTACAGAAGAAAGAAATTTCATGAGCTTGGTAAGGCTGTCAGATTAACCAGCATCTCGTGATGATGGAGAAGATTGTAAAAGGTTGGTTGTTATGTTAATTGTCTTAAGTCTTACGCATTTTAGACGTATCTCGTTGCAGTTAACGCAGATAAAATTAATCAAAATGCTGCTGACTGCACACCAAAATTGAAGTTTCAAGATCTTTTCTAACTGCAGGTTGCTTGAACTAATGATCGTTTAAATATTATCCACTAATTTTAGCTAATGACATTTTTTTAAATATTAAAGACACATTTTTCATAGTAAAGACAATTATATATGTTAGATAAACTGTCACCTAACATAAACCTAGCATATAATGAAAGTAGTTTAAAGTACATTAGATAACTTATTAAATTTGATACCTCTTTGTTTATTAATTGTGATATTCATGTAATGCCTCTTTACAGATGTTGGTGACATTCAGTCCAGGCTGATTGATCACAGGCCGGTCTTGCAGGGAGAAATTAAATTCTTCATCAGGGAGTTTTAGTAATTACATAACTTTATTTTGATAATTGCATTTTAAATTAATTAATGCAGTGTGTTCTTTAGGTATACAGTTGTGTAGTTAGTATAAATACATTGCTGGACATAGTACTGTACATCCAACATGGTGGCATTGTTCTTTTACTTGTATGTTCTTTGAGCCGTGACATACTGACTACAACCAAATTTACACTAGAATTGTTTGTGTTCCCTCAGGAGAAGCGTGCTTTCAGAGAATGCCGTCTGCCTGAAAGTCTTAATAAGATGACATCAGACACAAATGAACATGATCTGCCGCGGTGCACTGAGAGTATGCATGAGAAACTATGCGACGCTCTCACACAACGTAAGTCTCATCATTTACAGTAAAGAGTGTGATGAAGTGTCAGACACAACATGAAGAGGAAAGGGACATGCAGACAGGAAAGAAACTTATGTTGAATGAATCTTGTGTAATGTTTAATAAATATTGTGTAATAAGTTTTAAGTTTTAAATGTGCCCTATTTTGTTAGTATCGTTAAAAATAAATATATTTTAATGCATTAAAGGAATCGTTTTCTTTTTCACCTGAAATTAAAATTTAAAACTTATTTAAAATAGATTTAGCATTACATCATTTGCTCGTCAGTGATCCTCTGCAGTGAATGGGTGCCGTCAGAAGTCCAAACAGCTGATAAAAGCATCACAATAATCCATAAGTAATCAACACAACTTAATTAACGTCTTGTTAATTAAAAAGCTGTGTGTTTGTGATATTAATAATACATTTATATAATACATTTAAGACCATAAAAATGCTTCCTCCAGTGAAAAAGTCCATCCTCTCGCATCAAAATACACTGACTTATTAGAACTGTTTTATAAATGGTGCTTGATCTGTGCATATTTCTCTCCTGATTCAGATGAGACAACATTTTCATTGGAGAAAGTATTATTATGAATGATGGACTTTATACGGTTTGAAGTAAAAAACAAACAAACAAAAAACATTAATGATTGATTTGTTTATTACAAAGACAGGTTTTTTTTTGTTGTTTTGTTTTTTGCATCACAAGACATTTACTGATGGACTGGAGTCATGTGGATTATTGTGGTGTGTTTATCATCTGATCCTGATGGCACCCATTCACTGCAGATGATCTATTTGTGAGCTAGTAATGTAATTATAAATTGATCCAAATCTGCTCCAGTGAAGAAACAAACTCATTTAGTCATTTTAAAGAGGCTTAGGCAAAAATGTGAGACCACTGTGAAACATTGCAAAAATGAATTTAAATGTATATCAATAAATGTTATATAAAGCACTGTAATTATTTTGGCATACATTTGTAGATCTGTGTTATTTACTGTTGCTGCCAGGCAATTCCATAAGAATGTTTTTATTTTTTAGTCAATGTTCTAAAAGCAAGATTAGTGTATTGATGGGAATATTGTATTGACATTTGCTTTTCTATTTGTAGTTGAAGCGGCGAATCATATGGCACAGAGGATCCAGCAGAGGGAGCTAGAGGCTGAACAGGTACAGGTGCATCTCAATAAATTAGAATGTAGTGGAAAAGTTCATTTATTTCAGTAATTCAACTCAAATTGTGAAACCCGTGTATTAAATAAATTCAATGCACACAGACTGAAGTAGTTTAAGTCTTTGGTTATTTTAATTGTGATGATTTTGACTCACATTTCACAAAAACCCAACATCCTGGTAGATGGCTGCGTTGACTGTGGACTTCACCTCTCACTGGTGAATTCTAGTGCACTCTGGCTAGTGCACTCTAGCTAGGAGGGGTGGAGCAAGAGCAACCAACAGTTTGCCACAACAAGAACTGCAACATTGTATAGAGCAGGAACTAAACTTTGCAGAAAGTTAGATCTCCTGAAACAGGATTAAGCACCCATGATGTATACTGTAGCATACCAATGTACTACTTTTACCAATTCTACAGTATGTAGATTTTCTATGTGCTTGGAATATTTGGATTACCTACCTTTATTAAAAGTAATTTCTAAATGACCCAATTAAATAGTCTCAACATAACTTCACATGGTCCCTGACAGAATTATTGTATTTTTAATTTATTCTGTTTCATATATTTTTGTCACATCACTAAATTATAAGATTGTACTAGCTAGTTACTGTACTTTATAAAGGTTCTCCACTAGTAGTCGATCTCTGTGAACCCACGAACCAGTGTCTATATAGTTTTTACCTGATCTCGAATCAGTTTTTAATGACACATTTGTATAATAAAAAGGAAGAGCTGTAGTTACTAGTCTCTTAAGGCCAGATTAACCAAGCTCTCCATAAAACAAACAAAACAAGTCATACAATTTAATAAAATAACATTATACGGACACTTCATATTTTTTAGATTGCACTTTCAATAAAACATTTGCAATTGGTTTGCAAAAGGTGATTTTATGCATGTTTAGGCTATGCGTTTATGCTACATTTACACTGTTCTGACCAGCAGGTATTACTAGTGTATGGCATTTCGAGTGCTTTGAGATGATGAAACATTTCGCAAAGCAACTGGTTAATTTTTTTTATTATTTTTTTATTTTATTATTAAACAAAAAGCCTTTTCCCATCACTAACTGTAATCGACTACTAGTAATAGTACATTAGCATTCCAAATGCTAATTATTAATTACTCATTAATTACTCTTTCAGTAAAGCAGCATAAACAATCTCACCATAAAATAATACTTAATTTCAACATTTTACTTCTTGATCTACAAGATTGCACATTTAAAGAAAGAATCACATAAAATCAAAAGCAAGCAAATCAAGTTTAGAAGAGTAATCTTTTTTTGCATAGATCACAAATGAAACAATTGTACTTGCTGAATTAATCAGTATGATGGGGTCATATGATAGCATTGTAGAAGGGCTGAAAAACTAAATTCGAATTTTGTACATAAATGTTATCAAAATTCGAATTATATTCTCATTTAAAATGCATAATTTCAGTTAGGGTGAAGAAAAGCTTTTGGCTTCTCTCCTGAGGCCACAAGAGGGCGCATCGAGCAAAATATTACTAATGCACGTTTCTTCAAAGCATAAGATGACATGACTATCTGTGAAAAAAGTGCATAATGTTTAAAATAATGTTTATAAACCAATTATAATTAAGTTGCTTAAACAACTATAAACAAAACAGCATCATGCATGTATGCATAGTTTAATACAAAGGGCCGAAAGCCAATCACACAGAGTACATTTTTTCATTTAAAAAGATCTGCATTCTGCAGAGTGGTGATACATTTTGGTAGCCCGACTGGAAAACACAATAGCCCCGGGACGTATAGGCTATATATAAAGTTGATAAGCAGTTAAATGTGTTGGTTTACTCACAAAGACAAGTGTAAGCGTCTAATAAATCCAAGAATAAAATGATTAATTTACTTAGCATGTTAAATTTGATTTACATAACTTTTGTGCTGTTTTCTAACAGTTTGGATTGAATAAAGAGAGAAAACTTGCACTTAACCTTTTCACAGGCATTTTGTTTTCATAGTTAGACATATATCGTTATGTATCATTACAGAATTGTCTAGCAATATATAGATTGTCGCAGAATCGCTGTATCGTGATATTATTGTATCGTGAGCCATGTATCGTGATTCATATCGTATGGTGAGGTACCCTGCGATTCCCACCCCTACTAAAGACAGTTAGTTAGCATTTTAATGGTCAAATTTCAAACAGATTATTATGAAAGCTAATGATAATTTGCATATTGTATATGTTGATGTGTGTGTTCAGAACACACATATGCAGGTGTGTGCGGAGAGGCGGAAGCAGAACTGGGAGGAATTCCTGAAGGAGCAGTCTCGGCTGAAGGAGGAGGTGGATGAGGAGCATGCTAAAGCTGTGGGCCGACTCAGCACTCAATACAACGACATGAAAAAAGACCTGGCCAAATACAGCAGCTTCTGAACCGTGATGAATGTGTTTGAGTTATAACATATCAGTGACGTCCAGTTATTTTCTTTTTCCATTGTGTTGATGCTGTCGAGGATGGCATTAAAGAAATATTTTATACAAAATGAAAATGTCATCATGCTTGATTTTATGCAGACTACAAGTGCACATTCAATACAATTGAGCATGGACAATATGTCAATGTTTTAAGAATCTTCACACCGTTGTTTTTATTTATTTATTTTACGTTTTTACTTTTTTACAATGACGTAATAATTATGTCTGCTAAGCTTGAATGTTCAGGATGGATTTCTTTTGAGCTTAAGTATTGCTCTGTGGCCTTGTTGATTTTACAGAGGAGCTGAAGTTGATCAAATATTATATTTACTTATATTTAATGCATAACTAAATACAAAGAGTTCAAGCCTGTAACATCTAATTATGTGTCTTTCAATGTGTGTGTTACATTCATGAGGTCTTTCAGTCTATGTAAAAACATCCATCATGGCACACATGTGCCTCTCACATCCTTTAAATTCACATCTAATTATAGTAATTTCCACATCAGTTAAAAAATTGTAAATACCTTCTCATATGACAGTTTTTTCCTGCATGTGTTTGTACTGTCTCTTGCATTAAACACATCTGAATGTGTTTTAAGGCAGTCTGTGCACCTGCTTTAGATGGAAAGAGATCTTGGCCAGAAATCTGTCCTTTCTCCTCACATCTACCTGTGTTTTCCATACAATAGTAAAAAGTCAGACAGCACATTCAGTGAATCTGAGCTGCCTTTGACACGGGTGGAGCGATTGGACTGTCAATTCTTCACACGCTATGTCCTGAGCATTTACACACTAATGTTGCCACAAAATCTGTTTACCGTTAGTCAATGTATTTCTCTGTGTGGATGCATCAGTGGAAGATATTATTTCAGAGATTTCTTTGAGATGCTGTTGGTCATGGTGTGGCTTTTCCAGCTTCTTTCATGTTAACCAAAATAAAATTGAGTTTGCTTCCAGTCTGCCAACATTGAAGAATCAATAAAAACTTTCAATAGCCAGCAAAACATTCGTCCAATCACTCTAATGATTTTACTACTGTTGTCATGTGTCTGTCAAGTAAATGCTTTGACCAAATATCAAATGCTGTGTGATAGACAGACCACTTAAATAGCTATTTTGTGAGGTGGAAATATTAATTGACAAAAGACTTTGGGGGGGTGAGCATGATGATCCACACATAAATTCACCACTAAACATAACTGTCACTCACTGGGTCATATCTCACTCAAATGTATGAAATAGCCACCAATTCATTACATTTACATTTAGTCATTTAGCAGATGCTTTTATCCAAAGACTTATAAATGAGGACAGTGTAAGTGCTGTGACAAGTCTCGGTTAGTACATGTAGTACACGTAGCAAGTTTTTAATAACAGTGGGTACGGAAAGTATTCAGACCCCCTTAAATTTTTCACTCTTTGTTATATTGCAGCCATTTGCTAAAATCATTTAAGTTAATTTTTTTTCCTCATTAATGTACACACAGCACCCCATATTGACAGAAAAACACAGAATTGTTGACATTTTTGCAGATTTATTAAAAAAGAAAAACTGAAATATCACATGGTCCTAAGTATTCAGACCCTTTGCTCAGTATTTAGTAGAAGCACACTTTTGATCTAATACAGCCATGAGTCTTTTTGGGAAAGATGCAACAAGTTTTTCAGGGGATCCTCTGCCATTCCTCCTTGCAGATCCTCTCCAGTTCTGTCAGGTTGGATGGTAAACGTTGGTGGACAGCCATTTTTAGGTCTCTCCAGAGATGCTCAATTGGGTTTAAGTCAGGGCTCTGGCTGGGCCATTCAAGAACAGTCACAGAGTTGTTGTAAAGCCACTCCTTCGTTATTTTAGCTGTGTGCTTAGGGTCATTGTCTTGATGGAAAGTAAACCTTCGGCCCAGTCTGAGGTCCTGAGCACTCTGAAGAAGGTTTTCGTCCAGGATATCCCTGTACCTGGCCGCATTCATCTTTCCCTCGATTGCAACCAGTCGTCCTGTCCCTGCAGCTGAAAAACACCCCCACAGCATGATGCTGCCACCACCATGCTTCACTGTTGGGACTGTATTGGACAGGTGATGAGCAGTGCCTGGTTTTCTCCACACATACCGCTTAGAATTAAGGCCAAAAAGTTATATCTTGGTCTCATCAGACCAGAGAATCTTATTCAGGTGTTTTTTAGCAAACTCCATGCAGGCTTTCATGTGTCTTGCACTGAGGAGAGGCTTCCGTCGGGCCACTCTGCCATAAAGCCCCGACTGGTGGAGGGCTGCAGTGATGATTGACTTTCTACAACTTTCTCCCATCTCCCAACTGCATCTCTGGAGCTCAGCCACAGTGATCTTTGGGTTCTTCTTTACCTCTCTCACCAAGGCTCTTCTCCCCCGATAGCTCAGTTTGGCCAGACGGCCAGCTCTAGGAAGGGTTCTGATCATCCCAAACGTCTTCCATTTAAGGAATGGAGGCCACTGTGCTCTTGGGAACCTTAAGTGCAGCAGAAACTTTTTTGTAACCTTGGCCAGATCTGTGCCTTGCCACAATTCTGTCTCTGAGCTCTTCAGGCAGTTCCTTTGACCTCATAATTCTCATTTGCTCTGACATGCACTGTGAGCTGTAAGGTCTTATATAGACAGGTGTGTGGCTTTCCTAATCAAGTCCAATCAGCATAATCAAACACAGCTGGACTCAAATGAAAGTGTAGAACCATCTCAAGGATGATCAGAAGAAATGGACAGCACCCGAGTTAAATATATGAGTGTCACAGCAAAGGATCTGAATACTTAGGACCATGTGATATATCAGTTTTTCTTTTTTAATAAATCTGCAAAAATGTCAACAATTCTGTGTTTTTCTGTCAATATGGGGTGCTGTGTGTACATTAATGAGGAAAAAAAATTAACTTAAATGATTTTAGCAAATGGCTACAATATAACAAAGAGTGAAAAATTTAAGGGGGTCTGAATACTTTCCGTACCCACTGTACACATTTATAAATTCAATATATACA